CACCTCTTATTCCAAGTGAATCTATGGTTGATACCATGCCCGCCAACTATGGTCTCTCTCATGCCGAGTACATCCCAACCAGGCCTGGCTAATTGAGCACCTCTCATGCCCTGTACATCCTCATCCAGTTGACACCTGTGCATAAGTTGTTTCTTTATCCTTTGTCTAAAGTCAATTTACAGAGATAATACTGTCATGTATGGGGATGTCCATACAATCACTGTATTTATTATAATTGGTAAAGGCATAATGAAGCATAATTAGCTGGTGGCAGTGAACTTTTATTTGTTTATGTCATTATTTCCATAATAAGACTTATCTTGCTTAAAGCGTTTCCATCCAGACACAATGTTGTTGATGGCTGTAGGCAATAATTTTCCTTTCTGTACTCGGTTTACTGTAGCAACAAATTCGATAGCTGCGCTAATTCATCACGTTGGTAAAACAATACCATGGCTCCGTAGGACGTAATCTCCCAAGTGCGTGTGATGAATCATGTGTGTGCAGTGTTGATGTGAAATAGTTTGGGTTAAAGTCCCCCGTGTATTGTGTGTGGGAGGAAGTTTAGGGCATGAGCAATTACAACCTGGTGTGTCCGTTTGATAAATGCTCAATGTAGATTCTTACAAGTATTGTTGCTGCTGATATGAGTGTTGGGAGATAAATTATAGTTTGATGGAGTTAAACTGCCCTGGAAAACAGTTTAACCTAAAACAGCTGATGGTACTTTTGGGTAAGTGAGATAACTAGAAGATCTATATAAGCACATTGCTCATACAATAATACACGTCTTATGCTCCAATCTTGAATTTAGGATAAACATTGTACTTGTATGATGAAAAAAATAATAATTAGCAGGCATAATTGGCACTTTGCTGGGCTTCAGCTAAATTCGCAAAATTAAGTATTTCACTAATGCAAGTTATTCCAAACCATGAATTAATTTAGTCATCATTTAAAAACATCATGTCATCACCCTTAGAAAAGTATATCTATAAACCATGTGTTTATATGTGTAGCATATTTCAGTTTGCTCTATGAATCTGAAAAATGTGTGATATTTCATAATATTATATCAAGTGGCTATGTATTTAAACTCAGTAAGAAAAATATTAAATCGTTAACCATTATCTACTGTGGTTAAAACATATTTTGGCTTTCTGGACACCCATCTTTGTATGTAAATCAGCTTGGCAACCTCAAGATCTACCGCAAGTGGATTACTCTGACCTTCTTGTTACCCCTTCTGACCGGTCTTTGTACTGATGGAGAATACAGTGAAGATGACCTGCCTTATTGATTAAATTAAATGCCTGTCTGTTGTAGACACTTTAATGTCCCTTACATCAACCTGGTACAATCAAAACCTAATGCCTGTGTTGATTTATGTAAGATATTCCCATGGATGAAATCACATGTGTTATCATGTGCGATTCAAAGAGATGTCCTAGTCTTATATAAACAACCTGTTTTATGATTTACAGGATTACATACCACTACTACTTCTACTGTTTGAGAAATGTTATTTCTCACGAACTTCCTACAAAGATTTTATTTCATGTGTATTTTATGTAACATGACAATTTTTCACAATAAGGTGCTAGTCAGTCAGTCAGTCAGTCAGTCAGTCAGTCAGTCAGTCAGTCAGTCAGTCAGTCAGTCATGAGAATTCCTAGGGGTGAAGTTTGAATGGTTTACTGTACTTCCTTCTCTCCCACACATTGCTTTTTACTACTTATTATTGGATTTCCATTTACTCGCCCATTAATATTTCTGCCCCTGATTATTGCAGTGTAAAACAAACTGAGGAAAGCAGTAAACTGATTTGGAGAAGACTAACAGGCCCTGATCAACTGAACTTTTGCAGTTTTATGCAATTATAAATCATGCCACAATGCTTGACTAAAATATCAACTTTAACATTAATACTGCTCACAATCTGGATGCTTACTTCTCCATCCTTCGAGATATTAGCCTTTTCCTCTCTGATACAATTGACCATCATGCCTCTATCCCTTGGGACATAGAACATCACCTTTCTATCTCTTGGGACATTGACCATCACCTCTCTAACCCTTGGGACATTGACCATCACCTTTCTATCCCTTGGGACATTGACCATCACCTCTCTAACCCTTGGGACATAGAACATCATTCCCCTTGGGACATAGACCATCATTCCCCTTGGGACATAGACCATCATTCCCCTTGGGACATAGACCATCATTCCCCTTCCCCTTGGGACATTGACCATCATGCATCTATCCCTTCAGACATAGAACATCACCTTTCTACCCCTTGGGACATTGACCATCACCTTTCTATCCCTTGGGACATTGACCATCACCTCTCTAACCCTTGGGACATTGATCATCACCTTTCTACCCCTTGGGACATTGACCATCACCTCTCTAACCCTTGGGACATTGACCATCACCTTTCTACCCCTTGGGACATTGACCATCACCTTTCTATCCCTTGGGACATTGACCATCACCTCTCTAACCCTTGGGACATTGATCATCACCTTTCTAACCCTTGGGACATTGACCATCACCTTTCTATCCTTTGGGACATTGACCATCACCTTTCTATCCCTTGGGACATTGACCATCACCTCTCTAACCCTTGGGACATAGAACATCATTCCCCTTGGGACATAGAACATCATTCCCCTTGGGACATAGAACATCATTCCCCTTGGGACATAGAACATCATTCCCCTTGGACATTGACCATCACCTTTCTACCCCTTGGGACATTGACCATCACCTTTCTACCCCTTGGGACATTGACCATCACCTTTCTACCCCTTGGGACATTGACCATCACCTTTCTACCCCTTGGGACATTGACCATCACCTTTCTACGCCTTGGACATTGACCATCATCTTCGTACCCCTTGGGGCATAGACCATCACACCTCTACCTCTTGAGACATTGACCATCACCTTCCTATCCGTTGAGACATAGACCATCATCACCCTACCATTGGACTGTGCACTGTATGTGTGGGGAAAACATGTTTCATACATATTGAACAATTGCTTGTTTTAGTATATACATGTACATGGTAAAAACAAACATGACATACTGTTCATTATGAACTATTTTCAAATGGTGCAGTGGTTTACAAACAAACAAAATAGTGTTATATTCCACGACTTAAGAAGAAAACATGTACCGGTACTTGTCTGACAGCAACATTGTTAACTGACTAGCAAACTGCGGTGGTAGAAAGCCATCAGAGATCTGATCGTACTGCTTGGAAAACATCCCAGAAAACACAAATGTACAAATATCTGCAACTGACTGCTATGATCATTCAATTCTCTACAGATCCTTTAGAGATTACAGGTATCTCTATAAGGAAATTATAAAATTGTCTCAACTACGGGAGTCAGTCCACTTTTAGTGCACCACGTGTGGTGCACTAAAAATGAATATATGCAACACAAGCGTGATACATGGGTGAGGCATGACTGAGTGACAGGTTAGGCAACTTGTACATGTAGCTAGGTAATAATCACATTAAAAATGCATCTTTTGTTGCCTGTGGCCTTACAGCTGATTGAAGACCATTGCCAGTCTCTTGTAATATTGTTTTGTGCTGATAATGTGTTTGGATGCATTTGGGTCATTTGTAATAGTCACTCTACTCCATTATATTGACAAGAATTACTTGTGATTTACAGTCTAGTGAATACTGTCTGTCAACATCACTTTTAATTTTATAGTCACAATAACAACTTGATATTCCACTGGTCTGTGGTGATGATGCATGTACTCCCACTCATGTACCCTTAAGTACGCAGCTAGGCTGCTTCAGCTTATGATGTACCATGCTATGCGGTCACTCTTCTAAAATTACATCAAGTTTTACTGCCTTCTTTGAGTGTTAGCATCTTCTTCCAGTGTCTCTGCATTGTCTACATCCGATATATAGCTATACTGTGCTGCTGTCAATGTATCTGCGGGTAACACGCCAATATATTGGTAAGATTGGTGTTCTTACATGTAGTGAGTGTAGTTGTTTTCCAATGTCTCTTCACTGCTGTGTTGATACATACGTACACTATGCTGCTGTCAATGTACATGTATACTAGTAGGTAAAATAATTACTCTTATGTAGCCATACAGCTGTGTACTGTTGTCATGGTTTGTCAATGTTGTTGTGTTCATGCATTCCGCTTCACTTGGTAAAACTCACTACATCACATCTACATGGATGGTTTCTCTGCTGATGTTGGGGCTATAGACTCATCTTGTGTATAGTTCAGATATAGTAGTGCTTTATATCTTCACCATTGTGTAATTGCCCTTAATAGTATTCAGCTACTTTACTATAAACTATGGTGTAGCAGTGTAAATATAAACCAATGAAATAGCTGTGTTTATTTGTTTTAAGTTGTCTATTTAAATTTAGAATGAAATGTTAAAGTTATATTGCTTCGTGTCAATTGTGGTTGTGTATGTTAAGTTTGCTTTAAGTAACTTTGTTCTAGCGATCTTGGTACTAAAAACTCTTTGGTATGGATAGGTTACGATGAGCTATAGAACATTCCACTTATTTTTTTATAACATTTTATGTCCATAGCTGTACAGTGCTTGGAGAATGCATTCCTAGTTGTAAATGTACATGTACCATGCAAATAGACATCATACAAAATGTATATATTCAGCAAGTTTAATCTTTTAAACGCAAATGTTTTGTTATTATTTACAGAATAAGCCAGCACAATATTATTTAGTCTTCTCTTACATTTTGGTTTACATATGATTCAAACTAATATTTCTTTTTTTAAAAAACACACATTTTGTGAATTGTGTTTTCATAATATGGGAGTGATGTTTCTTTTTATGTAGCTATTTGTAATTTGAAAAACCAGTTACTGAGTGAAAATAATTTTCTTTTTTTTCTTTTATTCAGCGGATGCAACTGATGCAACTGACCAGGTTTTACAAGATATCAAAGCTAATCTAGCAGCTGGATATCTTGATGGAGGAGGGCGGCATAAGACATTACGTGGATCATCACCGGTAAATAATATTTCTGTTTTCATTTCAACAAAATATGTTGTGTAGGAAATAACAATCTCGTTTTTCAGGTATTTGTGAGAAAGTAGGTCAGTAGGCCATTTTTCAGAGGTCTGTACAATGTCAAGTAGATATTTCTTGCCTCAGGTCAAGGTCTCAGAGAAACATGTTATATGACACTGAAACTATCAATCGCATAGTTTCATTTATCTGCCGACCCAACTTAGATCACATTCTTTAGCACAAGAATAAATTTATACAATGGCTGTTTGATGTTTTTGGTATCTGTCTATTTAATGTTTCGTAGAATGACAGCTAGAAATTAAATTTCTCTTCCTCCCCCCAATAATTCCTTTGCATACTGGTTTACAACATGGAGTACTGTTCATTACCATGGCCTTGTTATTTATTGAACTACATTTTATCCGCATGTCATACAGAATTGAGCATAGAACTCAGGCAGTGTTAGTTGTGATCAAGGATACGCAGTTTCACTTAAACTTACAGTAAATAAACCAATTTTCTGCTAGCAACGTTCATGATTTCATCATTTGCAAAGACGAAATTACTATACATCTGCTGTGTTTTCTTTTCTAAAGGGGTGCAGTGAAATTTTCATTGCTACAGAATTGTCGCTTAAATGTGACGCTTGTGAAATTCAAATTACATACAAACATACCATGATTGTTATTAAATTAACAATAGTTACAAACCAAAATAAAAAACTTTCATATAATCAGCAATCAATCTGTGTTAGGGTTTGATTGATTACAAAATTATTTCACAAGAATTGGTAGTTGATGTTGATAACATTGATAAAAAGTCAAAACCTAATTTATGTTCTGTAATCAATTTCTCTTATTATTGCTGCTGTTAATTAAGAATAGATTTATGGTTGGTTATTTTAAAAACTTGGTTTCAAACTCAGTGTCACATCAACAGGCTTGGTGTCTAGTCCCAGGCAGTGAAATCAATTAATTTCATTATAAACTGAGAATGTATTTATAACTGACCAACTTTCACTGTTTGTTTAATCTGTTTTATTGTTTGATTTATTTTTTTTGGTTAGATTTTATGAGTTGAGATTCCACAGTTCCTCTAACAAAAAAAAAAAATCCCTGCATTATTTTCAAATTGTCTGTTGATTTTCATATTGTGTTGTTGCCATTACAGAATGATGTCCGTGTTAAGTTTGAATATTTAGGAGAGAAGAGGTAAGATGTTTTTTATTATATATCTGTTAGTGTTATAATTTTACAGTGTCTTCCAAGGTATCTGCAATTTACCTAATTAGGGAATACAAATTCCAAAAAAGGAATGACATGCTATATTTCTAAGATAGTGAGCGTTTTTCCAAATCGTACGAAAGAAAATTGCTGCACCACCTAGTTTTCATGACCTTGCCCTGTTCTGGGCTTTATACATCAAGGGAGTTGGACTAAAAATAACGTGATACAACAAAGTATCCAATTTTAACAACTTTCACAGCAATTGATACTGTCTTTATGCCTACTTGTAAAAACTTTGTCTAGTTAGACTTGAGGGTAATAATGTACTAACTGCAGTGTGCAAGCCCCTTCAGACTACAATCATACCACTCGTATCAAATAGCATTACGTTAAAATTATATTTTTATTTCAATTTTTCAATTTACTCGCTTAAGAATAGATGATGATTTCTGCTGTGTGAGGTTTAGTTTGAAAGGTGAAGTTGCTAATCCTGGAAGCCTGTAAAATATAGCTGCTAGACTGTCGTGATGTCATATTGATGTTATACTTTGGGGTCAAGTTTCCAGGAACAACTATAGACTTCTCACATTCTCTATGTAATTATTTCTCAGGAATATATTGGTTTCAAGACCTGTTAAATTTACAGACTTGCTAAGCAAAGCTAAGACTGCCTATGGAGCAGGACTTACACTTGTGTTGCATTATTCCAATAATGAGGTAAGATTTTGTTACCAACTCAAGATGTATCAGACATTATAGACGTCAAAGTTACACTCTCAGATTATTCTTATAAAAAATTTTTGGGTTTTGGCACTCTTAATCTTTATCTGGTCAAATCAATATAAGGATAAATGGCTGGGTATTCAGAAGGGTAAAGTGTGGACAAATTGTTTATGTACATGAAATTCAAACAAACGTTGCACATATATTCTGTGGCACTTTAAGTAAAATATTTTATTGTCTTTTAATATGCATAAATTCTCAAATAAATTTCTTTTTTGACTCATAATTATGCTGTATTATTGCAGTCTGCAGATGTCTCCATGCACCAAAAGTTGTGGCTCATGAAATTCAAATATTCAATCAAAAACAAAGCTGAAACGATCATTTTGCACAAATTCAGTCAATCAAAAATTTCATCTAATAATACACAAATAAAGTTGTAGGAGTGAGTGTTGAGCTAAGTACTCTATTAGGACACCACTGGTGTCTCTGCTATTATACATGCTATAGGGTAAGAACTCTGTACAGACACCACTGAGTTTGGTAGACATACGAAACTCTCTGTGTAACATGATTCCTCTTTTTTCCCTATTTTCTGAACATTGAATCAAAATTTCAACTATGTTGAGACTATGTTTTTGTCAGTAAAATTCCTGAATTGAAATCCATATGGCATAACTATCTACAAGAAGTGACTAAAATTCACACACTCTGTGAAATTAGGAATTGGTAAAATATTGACTAACATTTACTATCATTATCTGATATGTGTGCTTGCCTTTAAAATTTAGATAATATATATTTATACATATATATACATGTCAGACCTGTAAGAAATTTAGTGACAAAATTCACACATTTTAACCCATCTAAAAAATCAACTTGAGTGTCAACTTCTTTTTAATATTACAAAATAACTCAAATAATCAACTCAAACTCAAGTTTACTATTAAAATATTTTGCGTACTGAACAATTGATTACCTGTAACCACGGAAACAGGCATTTTATTATAAACTTCAGTTTGAGGTAGTTGTATCGTGTATTGAAGTTAGGAGTCATTTACATTTTCAAAGTTGAAGAAATCAAAAGATGGGTGGGCGAGTTGTTTAAATACCGGTAATTACAGGAGGAAATCATAATGCCTATTCTAATAGTTCATTGTCTCTTCTTGTGCTTGCTTAATAACTTTTTATCTCAATATCCATATAATAATTGCAAAATAAAGTTTGAAATGTCCAATGTGCAAAATTATATGGTTATGGTTTAACAACTATTAAACTTACCTTAACAATTGACCCATGTACTTGTATCATTTACTGTGTTATATTACACCAAAATTGGGGAGTGATGTTACACATATTGTAATGAATAAAGCCTTGTCCATGTCTCAGGCTTTTTTCTTGTATTCATAATATAGTGAATGAAAGTTTCTCTCAGTGAGAAGGAAAAAAAATGTTCAAGGGTGCATTTGTACTATTTTGTCAATATTACATATTCTCATTGAAAAAAAAAATGGTTCTGTTATGCAACTAACATTATGTTTTTGATTTGATATTGTTTCAGTTTATTATTCCTGTGACATCACAATCGGCTTTAGATCAGGCCATTGAGTTGATGGATAGAGTGCCACGCAGCAAAGGAAGCAAAGCTCTACGACTTTACCTCACTACAAGTGGCGAAAGCAGGCCGTCAGTATCAAGTACTCCGCCAAATGGACCACTAAAAGATCTATTTGACACACATGTAAGTTTACTTTTAATGTTCTCCTTCTTGAAAGCTATCCCTCAAAGAACATTGCAATTGTGTCTAATAAGTACAATGGAATAGCAACTGTTTCTGCATCTTTATGTAGTGGAATAGATGTTGGTATTAAACTCCTCAATGAAAAGACTAGGCTTCAGATAGTTTCTCTGTTTTCAAACTTGCAGACTCCTCCAAATATTCATCTGTTATACCATGACTTGGCAAATAAATGAATAAAATTCTGTAAGAATTGTAGCTTCCCTGACACTGATTTCACAATTCAAGTTGTTGGCTATTCTTGACCATCAAACAGGTTTATAGTAGGAATAGACCATTTTCCATTCACTGCGAGAATCACGCGTTATGCGTGAAATCGAACGTAAAAACATGACAAACAAAGGTCATAGCATCATAGTGGCATCATACATCGCGTGGGATTCAACAAATGCGAAAGTATTTTGGGGGACACTTCCATGCTTAATAATGTGCTGTGTACACATTTGATGATAGGCAATTTTGATTAAGTGAGGGCATTCGGAAGCAATATTTCTCTGTCGAAGATCGGCTGGTCGATGTGAGCTACAAAATAAAGAAATTCTAGTTCAAAATCAAATCGTTCGATTTTTGCGGCAGACGTTCGACGCACGTCTTTCATGCATCTCGCGAGATCTCACAATTCTACAGAAAATCACATATTCTGTCAAGTTATAATGGTGAGGCAACTGCTTAATAAAAGAACCTTGGTTGGCGAAAATGATGACACACAAAGGGTTAAAATAACGAGTTTTAGGTAGCACCTGAAGCTTACATAAGGTAGTCCTAATCTGAGATGCTGTACTTGAGTTGTACATTCTGCTTTGGAGGGGGGGGGGAGGGGAGGGGGTTACCCAGAATAAATAAATGTGACTTCATTCATCCTTCTGTCTGTTTTGCAGATCAGCAATAATAACAGCAGCAAATCCATTCCAGTAAACAGATCCTATTCTTTGCCTCAGGATATTCCAGAAAAAGGCTTAGAAAGCAACAAGAGACATTCGGCACCACCGCATCAAACGAGGGATACTCATTCCCCGCCTCCTGGTATCACACCGGATAGTGAGGAAATGCCGCAAGCTAGTTCCTTTGATTCCTCATGCGGGGAAGGCAGATTTATTCCAGAAGAAGATTCCAGAGAGGTGAGTTTATTCCACAGTTCTTAGCCTTGTCTCTCTCGTATATCTTGTTAGTCAACAGACTTTCTTGTTGTAACTAGACTAATGAAAATCTATAAACTTTCACAAATTGTGAATACTAACTTGATTCCAGTGAAATATTCACCGTTAAAAAAGTCTATACATGTTCTGCCTGCCACTATTTCTGAAATTTGTCTTCGAAATGAGTCAATTTTCCGTTGATTCTAGTCTGTAACGCTGCACTTGGTGAACTTAGCAGATTTTCGCTGAAAACCCTTAGATTGTCTTGTATTGTTAGATACTGGATAAACATCCTGGATCGTGACTATACATCCTATATTGAATGTTGTTATAACTACCAATTTGAAATGGCCGAGAAGGGTTACAAGTGGTGGGCATGTGTAAAGGAACTGTTTAGTTTTGGTTTCGGTATGGCCTGAGATATGCAAGAATTCGGCAATGTAAATATGTTTGTGTCTGTCCTTAAACAAAGATCAACAAGTCTGCTTCCAATAATCTCATTTTAGAAAAAATATCTGTCCTTTAATGATATAGAAGTTTTTTATGCAGATTTGGGGTTTCTAATTACAGATTGCGCATCGAGAAGGGAAATATTCCCAGAGAAAGGCCATACTTCATTAATAAATTTGGATTCTTGGTTGACCAAAACCATTTAATTGAGGTCACAGAAATTGGCATTAGTAGCTTGGCCATACAATATTGTCCTGGGTTTGAATTTCACAATAGACAATTGACCACAGATGTAGGTCAATGTACACTAACAAGATTCCGTCCGCACAGAATTTTATTTTTTGAATTTTCTACTTTACACAGTAAAAAAAGATAACCTTTAACCTCTTCACCACCAGTTCTCTATTTTCATCACAAATTCCTGTTCATGCACTTTCTACAGAAGATTGGGATAAAAATAGTCAAATCTTTTGAGTAAAAATGTATACTGTCTCAAATTAATTCTGTTGGCTTCACAATTAGGATTCATTTCCAGAAATATTGAACAATGTAGAAAAATTTGGGCAAGAAAGTCTGTTGGTGAAAAGGTTAAACATCATCAGGTACAATATGATATAATGTTGAATGCTTCTTGATTCATCCAATTTAAATCATATGTTTTCACTTGTGAGACTGAAACCATATTCTTACAATTATCTTAACTATTATATTATCACTCCTTGCATACATATGTTAATGATTGTACAAGAACTCTAAGGTCAATTGAGGTTAACTCCCCTGAAGTGTAATCAGTACTTGTGTTACCGACTAATTTAATAGCATTATAATAACAGGTACATCTGTAAGCAGTGGGCATCTACTGTAAATAATGCCAATAATTTGAGTGTGTTAGCAAAAAAAAACCCATTGTGACTGGCCCAGATGATACAATGCTACATTATTGCGTGATTTTCCCCATGCAGCGTGAATACCGGTAATCTTGAAAATGTCTCTGATAAAATCAAAGCGGTTTACGCTATTTCACTTAGTATTAACGTATTAGTCTATTTGATAAGATGCTGAAGCTAGTGCTGTGAAATTAAAAAGTGAACGTGTTGAAAATGAAACATTACATTGTGTTATAGTGTATGAACCGTTCATGCTGAAAGACATGTTTGTGATGTCATCATTTCAAGGTGACCAAATTCACTGAGACTCTAATTAAAAAACAAATTATTTTTGTTTAATTCAGACTGAATACAGGTATGATAGCCAATCATCTTTAGTCACAACTAATTACAGAACTGGTGGATCACTAGGAAGGTATGTAACACATTCTCTCATTTACTCGTTTATACTTTCCATTCCATGTTTGTAAATGTGTTGAAATGGGCGTAGTGCGAGTGGCTAGTACGAGTAGCACTAAGCCAAAAAAGTACTAGATCTAGTGCTAAAATGGCACTAGATCTAGTGCTAAAATGTGCACAGTGCGAGTGGCATTGTTATCGCATTGTCAACGACGTCAAATAATAGGAGGAGCATCGACAACCACTTTCATATGCAAACTACAAACAGTATAAAACATCGGCAATATGCGCGAGATGTCCATAATAATACTTTCTTTATATAATACCGGATTCTGTCGTAAATTTGCCCATCCGAAAAATCACCCTTAGGATTTCACGGCTGGTGGGCGCTTATTTGGGGTTCAAAATTTCAAAAAATAATTATCAATTATTTTGGGGGGGAAATTTTCATTGTATCCAACCATGGACGTACTAGAGTCTCTAGTACGTCCATGAT